CTAACATGCCTTTCGGCAACCTCAAGCCAAAAGAATTTAAAGAGTATTGTACAGTAACTAACACTTGTCACACCGCTTCGCAACATCGCTTGCTCATTTTTCTCGAGGTTGACTACAAGTTTTTCCCCCCCTCTTCTACTTAGTAGTAGTCTCACACCGCTTTGACCGTGGTGTCGGCGCCAGATCTAGCGTGTTGGGATGATATGATTTCCGACTGTTTAAATCCTCTTAAACTACGCTACTATAAACTTGACGTAAATAATAGCTTCAGCATGACTGACAGCCTCACTTTTCGACAATCTCCGTCATCACGAGAGCCTAGGTATCTTCCTATAAACCCCGCTAGCTTGGCAAGAGTAGTAAAGCTTCAAAAAAAGCCAAGTCGTCTCTATCCTACCTACTTTCACTAAATCGGGTGCGCTGCAGGAACGTCGATGGACGAAAAAGAAAGTGCGAGAAAGCGGTGGCCGACGCAATCGTTCTACCTATCACAGGCAAGATACAGCGACCTTAAAGATCATTGCGGCTTGCCTGGGGATTAGGAAGCAAAGCAAGATAGTGACGGCTAAGACTAGAAGATGATGGCTTCTTATTGGCCAGCTCACTTCCCCTAGAAGAATATCTTAGTGCCGGAACACCCAAGATGGTAGCATTTCTTAAACAAGACTGTCGTGTTACCATCCTTATTACAACTGCATCTGCAGGTCTCAAAGATTATCCTCCGCATATCGAGAAGATTTTTTTTTTTTTTGACAGAGCGTGAAGATGCGCCAGGAGAGGGGAGAGGGGAGAGGTTCTAGACACATTAAGAAGCAACCTCATCGGTCTTGTGCCGAACGGATGCAGTCGAACTGCATCGCATCAAGCGCGTTGCCGTAACAGCTTCATAAACTGCAAGCGAGTTGTCACTACAAAATATGACGTCTTGTGAGTTGTGAGTTGTGAATTGATGGTATGTAGCATTGAAATGGGTAAGGTAGTCAAGGCAGTCTAGTCACAGGTTCAATGTTCTAGAAATGGGCATTCGGCCAGCTAGTTGCAGTAGGTAGGGCTATTATTGCAGGGCCGTGTAAGTGGAAAAGAGGTATTTGATCGATGATGTCTATCATCGTGCATTTAAATGCATTCAAGTTTCTTAAGATTGACTTTAGGAATTTCTTATCATTATCTATATCTATTATCTACGGCGCTATCTGCGGTTGTGCATCAATTGTTCTGCAATGCAAATCCGCACGGACCAATTGCCTATAAGCTACCTAGGTACCTTCTAAAGCCGCTAGTGACCTGCACCCTTACGTCGTTCAACCACGCTAAAGCACTGGCCAAGCACTAAAATAGAAATCCTAGTAAACTGGAGATCACTCGAAAAAAGGACGATCCCTCCCCCTCGAAATACATAGTTACCCAAATACCCAAATACCTTTCCAAGACTTTCCCCTCCCCCACCTTGCACCCACTCTGCCACCTCCCACGAGCAGCACGAGCAGCACGAGCAGCACGAGCCAGCATGAGAAGAAGGATATTATGTACCTACCTATGCAGTAGAATCATCTGACCAGTAATAAGAGACACCGATCCATTTCATCTAACTCTCAACCCGTATCCGATACTGGATTGGAACCCTGACGGCCAAACGGATGACCTGCCATGGACTTGCTCGTGGACTGCCTGTAGAATACCTACTATGGCCCGCCTTGCCTCGTAGGCTGGCGCTTCAACATTCCAACCAATGTCGCATCTAGTCGTTTCGCACAACCATACGCCAATTCGACACTCACCGCCTCGCCGTCCCCTCGGTCGAGAACAAGACTTTCACGCAGCTTGCAACCTTGCGTAATCCATGTCCTGTACGTGCCATTCACTGCATTCCGCCACCCCTACGCGCCCTCCTTATGCAGCACGACGGGATCAATATGCCACAAACTCGACGAGAGAGATCGATACACACCCGTGTTCCGTCTGTTTCTTTCGTCTATATCTCCCTCTTCGCCGTATCGCCGTATCGCCGTATCGCCGTATCGCTACAGGTATATATCTTGCGGTGAGAGGATATTTACTAATGCTTTAAATTACCTACCATTGATGTTGGTAAGCTGTGCGTCGCATTGCATTGCAGAGAAGCGTCACTTCACAGAATATCACCATGCCTTCCTATATCCCTGCCGTAGCGATAGGCGATAGTCCCCCCAATCCCTTCTTACATATCGGCTAATGAGGCAAGCCGCAAAAAGCCATGGCAAGTGAGGGGCGACAAGGATTTGAACTCGGATCTGAACTTCGATCGCGTGGGGAATCGTCTGACCACTCACTGACCGGCACTAACATGCACGGCTGACCGCGGTCATGGGTTTGTATACGCAGCCTCGACTAAACTTCATCTACAAATCAACCGTGACACGGAAGACATGCGGTGCCATGGAAACACACAACTCCGTGGTCTGTTAGCCGTTATACAGCATGATGATTGCTACCAAGTTCAACAATTTCCAACGGTTCTAGTAAACGCTAAGAATTTTAGACAATTTCCTCTCCTTGGTCGAGTTTCTCTCTTATCATTGTCTTTTATTCTAGTTTGCTCCAATGCGTTCTAAGATAACTCATCATCTTGTTATGAAATAAGTAGACCTAAGTTAAAGTATACAACTTCAAGTCTCGTATGCTGGAGCCGGATAGTTATCTATCAAGATAAGTAGATTTCTTATTACTCCGAAGACAATGCCTGAAACATTTAGATCTGACACAAGTTAATTGCTGCGGACCGAAGCGTGGCGTCCCAGCGGCGGTCGTCGACCGTTAGACAACTCGCACGAAGCCGCTGTCAGCAAGCGGCCGCGCAAGGATCCTGTACAACAACCCCTTAAGTTATCCACACTAGCAACCTTTTGCTGTGGGTTACCGCCTTGGTAAGGAACATGTCGATTATGATAGGACCGGCCAACGGCGAAGTATGACTTGCCAAGTCACAAAAGACATCTTATTGCATTTTATCTAAATATTTCGGCTCTTTGTCATGCTCGTATTATAGCCCACAGGGACTAGTGTACGATGCTGGCGCGTGATCTCGGTGCAATTATAGTGGAACAAGCATCATAGAGGTCATCGGCGATCGCCTTGTCGAAGAACGTTTTAGGGGCCAAGTGGCAAAAGATTGGCTGGGCTTATCCGTATTGAAGAAATCGTCGATATTTCGGTATCACAGGCGTCTATACCCTGTGTACAGAAACGTCTATATGACAGATGCCATGGATAGCATGTACTACGTTAGGTAGTAGCAGTTCTCAGGCGATCAGAGCCCCCTGATATGCCCATGTTTCGACTCCACTTACACGTGCTCTTCAAGGTTGTTTCCAGATCGACGCCAGTATCACTATCCCCAGTGTCGGGTAGCTGGCGTTTGCCGGAGTTGGAGCAGCCGACGAGTGAACTTTCGACCGTTCCGCTGTGGTGGTTACTCCTGAGGCCACGCAGGTATGCACGCACTTTGTGCTTCCGGCGAAACTTGACCATTATCTGATAACGACAAGCCTTGTTTGCCGTCACTGCCGGGCGTCGAGTCAGCTGGGCGATCTTTTCCCCCCTGTGCCACGGAGGGCGGGCTGGGCGCAGATGCCAAGCTGCCGTGAAGCTGGACCAAGGACGGGATGTGTGCGCCACACTCCGAATTGACCAACGGAAACGGCCGTTGGTGAAATGGATCGGGCTGTCCGTCGGCTTGGAATCGTGATTTAGTACGGACCTAGGTCCGGTTGGGGCAGTGTTATGCATGGCTATATTTTGCTGTTATGGCCTTATCTTTACTTTACTGGCGTGCTCTATGAGCCGTTGATAGCCCTAGGGTGTGCTATCAATAACTACAGTTTTAGAGGACATAACTATCTAGGAAGTATACTATGGAAAACATGCTAGGAATATCACGTCATATATTAGCAAGATGTCGAGCCGGCCGTTCATCCGGCCTCATCTTTCGACAGAGCGCTGGTTTAGACGACATCTATCCGAAGGATGATCCGACAGTGTAGAAGATCTTGGTTCATGACGGCGATAAGTTTAGATACCGTAGTAGCATATACTTAGGAGAAACCCCATATCTTGACTACCCGAAGGTTGATGTGATTGTAGAGCTCTAGCTATGTAGGTACTTACTATATACCTCATATCAAATATTCTACGTAGAACGTGTTGTCCTAAGTATTGCAGCTAATATAAAACGAGTAAAAACAAGTAATTACGGGTAACTCTGTACGTGTAAGTCTCAGGTATTTAGTGACAATGATCTTACACGAAGATTTGTAAATTGAGTAGTGTTAAATAAGTGTAACGAATTAAAATCGAAAGTCTTCTATCGAATGATAAAAAGGAAGTTTATAGTTCTATTTTCAAAGTTATATAGGCGGGCTCGTTTATACTTCTGGTGTTGACCTTTTACCCTATAATCATATGAGGTACCTAATACATTAAAGATGAAGGCTTTGGATCCAAGCCCTGGGTACTTACATATCGATTAACTGATTAATAGTGATGATAAGACCATAATATCAAAGACCTTGAGGATAATGGAGTAAGTAATAGCAAGCTCTGCTTCATCTAACTAGGAGTGTCCTAGTGTCCAGATTATACCTCATCCTCTCCCCCAAGAACTCGCCTAGCGTAGACTTTTAAGTGTTTTCGGCTGGTAGTCCGATAGCGGTGCTTCATCTGAGCTTCGTGCCGAGAGAATGTCTTAAGTACGCGGCTGCTCAGCTAGGTAGTCAGCTAGGGACCAGTGAAGATCCATTTTGTCCTCGTGTCGAGTACTCTGATATTTAAGTCAGTAATTGCTTTTTTTAAGTAAGGAGTTTGGGTGTTTAGACATGTCTCGGGAACAATAGTTCTCTCCCTTTTAACTTTGAGCCTCGGCTTTTGAGACATGTTTAAGAGGAAATGTCTTCGAGCTTTGGATACGTTTAAAACAAAGACTTCCATCTTATAATCGCCAAAATAAAGAATAATCGGAAAATTAGATGAGGGGGGTATTACATATATATCTTTTTGTTTATACGTTAGGCGCCTTGTGACTATATATACAAATCGGTATGAGACTTCTTGTTTCGATAGACGAAGTTAACTCAAATCGATTCCACCCAACCCCAATCCCGGAATCATCCGGCTTGCATCTTCTCTTGGACATACCGGACTTAGTAACCCTCCAAGACGTCGGACAAGGCTGCGCAACCCACGGGGCATACGTACCCCCAAGCCTCGAGGGCGGTATCGTATTGGGTACATTAGGTAGTTACCTAGATAGGTAATCCACTCGAACCTAGCGAGCTTGAAGCTCCCACTCTCTGTACGATGCTCTGGCAGGCGGTAATGCACTCAAATAGATCATCCCAATCGTACAATGTCGTATCCCACAACCTATGACGTGCTATTACCTTGAAAAGGCAAGGCGAGATTATTTATCGATCTTCACGATCCTATCCAAAGCTCGTCCCTCCTCTAGTACATATGCTGACGTGATGTCGAGTTTGTATTTAACCCCGTTTATCATAATTGGGGCAAATCCCTCCCCTGTTAATCCGCGGCGGAAGTTCTTGAAGAGCATCGAGAAGACCTGTTTTCCGTGCCTAAACGGTGCAGTCATTAGGTGGTTCATCTCGTATTCGCGCTCCTGCTTACGCCGGACCTCCTCCTGCTTCTTCATAAGCATCTTCTCGTAGTCCGAAGGGGGCGCTTTGCGATTATACAGCGGCGCCTTCATGACCACGTCATTTGGATCAACTTGTATGCGACGTAGCGGTACACCTGGGAAGGGCACAGTGCGTCGAGCTTCGATTTCAAGCCGCACCGGTAGATTTTCCGGTGTAGCCGTCTTTGCGGCTGGGTTCAGCGCCTTGACTGACCGGGCTGGTAGTACCTTGATAGAACGTATCATACCCGCGGGCATCAGTGCAAACCTGGTCCCGCAAGCGGCTAGAAGTAAGCCCATCATACCAAACCCAACACTAACGATCCAATGGAGTCCTTCCGGTAGATTATAGACGTTTACAACGATGTTGATAGCGGCGGCTCCTATGAAAAAGAGACCAGCCGTGTAACTCGAGAATAGGAAGACTCCCTGGGGAGCTGCTTCGTATAAGATCGTCGGAGAAGACTTGTCTGCGAGCTTCTGCGCAAAACTTAGTGGAGACAGTACGCTCTTTGCTGGAGGTGAGGCTGTAGGTTTTAAAGGGACTGTTGGTTTTTGCTTTGGAGATGCGAATCTAAGTCCCGTCGTCGCGAACGATCGGCCGCACGTTCGAGCGGAAGTTGGCTGGGGCCATAGCGGGACTCTGGTGATTCGGATAGATGATCTGAGGGAGTTATGGAGTATAAATATAGGGCGGGTACACCCCCGGCAAACGGATATAGGTGCCGTCATCTGCGTATTATAAGCCAAATAATTCAATTGACATGACTGGGTAAAGAACGATGATATGGTAGACTGGTAGTCGTATAATTTCGACTTAGATGGTGGGATGATGGAATATAGATTTGATAGAGCTTCGGTGGAGCTGAATTTCTTAATTATTCTTTATCGATACGACAAGGTGAACGGTGAACCTAATCTGAAGTACCGAAGTACATATAACTATGTATGTATGTATATCAGCCCCTGTCACTAAGGCTTAATTAGTGGATCCCTTCCATAACCTCAACGTCGGGAGCCCTACAGGGTTCTGGGGGGATAGGAAACGGTAAAACTTTATAGCGTCCCTTCCAATTCCGATAATTATTCGGTTGAGGCCGGAGAATCCCCAACAAGCTCAACCGTAGCATTCATTTATTCATAAGCTCCGAATCGGGATTCCGTTTTAACGAGAGGGAAGAAAGAAAAAAAAGGCTCAGTTGAGCTTCACCTTTTCTTCTTAAGAAGCCGACAATGGCATCTTTTGCGACAGCAACCCGCCTAACAACACGGCTTATAAGCCGACGGGTCGCCCAAGATGTCGCAAGTCGAGGTATTTTAATCCGTTAGAAGCCCTCGCGCGCGTGTATAGCTAATTAGGTCCGCATAGGCTTTCGCACGTCCGCTGCCTCGCTCGCGGCGCAAAACTTCACCATGCCGGCTCTGTCGCCCACTATGACGGAAGGCAATATCGCAAACTGGAAGCTCAAGGAGGGCGATTCCTTTTCCGCTGGCGACGTCTTACTCGAGATCGAAACAGACAAGGCGACCATGGATGTCGAGGCGCAAGACGATGGAATCCTCGTAAAAATCACTCAGGGTGATGGCAGTAAGAACATTCAGGTTGGCACCCGAATTGGTGTTGTTGCAGAATCCGGTGACGACATCAATTCATTAGAGATTCCTGCCGACGAACAGCCTGCGCAGAAGGAAGCCAAAAAAGAGGAACCGGAGCGCAAACAAGAGTCTCAGAGTGCTGCTGCAGAGAACAAAGCTAGCGGACCGAAGAGGACTGGCGAGAAGGCACCGCCCCAGAAATACCCTCTTTACCCATCAGTCGAGCACCTAGTAAAGGAGCACAAGCTAGACGAGTCTGCTATTAGCGAGATAACGCCAACGGGCCCTGCTGGACGCTTGCTCAAAGGTGATGTCCTCGCATATCTCGGCAGCGCACCTTCTAGTAGACCTGGAGAGATTAAAGCACGATTTGAGCACAATTCACACCTTGACCTCTCCAACATCAAGATCGCTGCTCCTAAGGAGGCCCCGAAGAAGGCAGAGAAGATTGCATCAGAGCCCCCGTTTCGCAAGGTTTTAATAGTAACATTGCCGATATCGTTTGCGAAAGTGATAGAGATTCAGAAGAAGATCGAGGACACTATCGGCACTTTCATACCGTTATCGACATTCGTGGAGAGGGCTACAGAAGTAGCCAATGATGAGCTGCCTTTGCCATCAAACTATAAGCCAACAGCCGACGAATTGTTCAATCAGGTTTTAGGACTGGACAAGGCTAGCCCGAGGGGTTCTCGCGGCCATTACATTCCTCAAATTCCCGCTCTTCTTTCGCCGTCCTTCACCGGCGTTGCCCCTAAGCCCAAAAAGCAAGTCGACATTATCGACTTCCTAGCAGGCTCTGCGAAGGCGTCTGCGCCAAAGCCACGAAAGACCAGCTCACAAGTCGGAATATCTACCGGCACCAACATATTCGCTGTCTCTGTACCGGAGGCTGAGGAGAAGAGAGCCAAGGAATTCCTGCGAAGAGTTAAGATGGTGCTGGAAGTGGAACCAGGCAGACTTGTTTTATAAATAGAAAAGCTTGGAGCAAGAGACGCTGTAACTATAAAGCCTGTAATGTTGGCACGGAAGCACTGATAGACTATATTATTAGCATTTGTTTGTTCATTGTGCCTTTGGTAACGCCCAACTTGTAAGTATTACGAATTTCCTAACATACGGAAACGAATTAAATGAAGTTAAACTAAGAGAAACCAATATGCTGCACGAACTCATTTCCCAATCACTAGGTTAGGCTGCTATTCATCGTGTAACATGATATCTTCAGATATCATAATTTCTGTCAGCAACCTAGGCGGTTTTATAGTCATGAACTCCTATTTTAACGGGTTGTCGATAACATATACTTGTGGATTTTGAATTGATGAAGGCACCTATCTGGTACCGCCTAAACGATATACAATTGATGTTTTTATACTCCTTTCCCCAGTCCTCGTCCATAGCTGATTTACTTAGATACACACGTGTCAGTATAATAATGTTTTCTCATACGGAGCCGACCTTCTGCTTAACGAAGGCGAGAGCCTGCTGGCCGTAGATCTGGACATACTGCTGGTGGTGCTGCGCGTCGTTGCCGTTAGAGCAGTATGGGTCCTCAGCGTCGCAGTACGACTGGATCCTGTCCGCGTAGACGGGACATTGGTAACCCGAGGGTCGAGCAGCGAACTAGAAAGTCAACGTAGGTTAGACAGATCATCTACTTTGGCAGTAACCAACCATACAGAAAATGGAGATGATGGCCACATTTATATATATATAAAGAAAAAAAAAGAAGAAGAAAAGGATAGGAATGGAAGACTTACACCACCAGCCTTCGCCGTCCCGACATTGTAGCTCAGCCCCGGCACGTTGCGCGGGTCGCCCATGAAGATGACGGCCTTGACGTGCGTGCCGACGTCGGCGGGCAGCGGCGCCGCCGTCCCGCTCAGGCTGCTGCCGTCGGGCCCGCCGCAGAACGCGTCGTCCATGATCTGCGAGCCCTGCGAGTAGCCCACCATCACGACGGTCGTGTTCGGGCACTTCTTGGTGAAGGCCGAGACCTGGTCTACTACCGCTTTGATCCCCGCCGTCACGGAGGACCCGTAGGCGTCGCCGCCTGCTGCGGGGTCTGCGTGCGTACCTATGTGTTAGTATCGATATTGCTATTGCTGGATTTGATATTCTAGTTCTGGGGGCATGGGGCATGGGGCATGGGGTAGAGAGAATGTAATGTGGAAAAGGGGGGGGGGGGGGGGGGGGGGTACAAACGATGGCCTCGGACGTCGTCCCGGGGTACGCTCCCTGGATCAGCTGGATCATGGCCTGCGAACTACCGAAGCCTTGGGGGACGGTGGTCTCGCGCGCGGCGATAACGTGCAGCTTAGCGCAGGACTGACGGGCTTCGACGTCGCCGGACGGGGCGGCGAGGGCCCCGGATAGGAAAAGTAGGGGGGTTGAGGCTTTCATTTTGATTTTCCTTCTTAAGACAGTTCTTATTTCGAACAGAAAAGTAGTAGAATGAACTGAAAATCAAGGAAAGAAAAGCATAGCAGCAAGTTTATATACCTACGTATTACTGCCCATAAGGGGGCGGACACCTTGCTGTGACCACGGCAGGTCGCGTTTTATCCGAATGTCATGGAGAGGTGACCATTCGATCGAAGCATCGTGATCTCCGGAATAGGCAATATTCGGAGCCAGATCTGGGGCTTGTTATGTCTGCGAAACGCACAACCTTGCAAGGGGTCGATCAGTGGATCGTTATGCACATCATGACATATATTCATCACAGTCGCATTGCTAATTTACATGTTACAGGGCTCTCAATGCCTTCCAGTCGCTTCTTAGGTTCCAGCAGGTTCACGATACGTATTGTCTATAACACGCCCCGTATGAATCGTGGCAATCACATAAATATACCTAACCTACTAACAATTTGTCATTGGTGTGCAGAATAATAAAGCAGCGAAATCGAGGCTTATAGCATACGAGATATTAGCAAGGATTTCCGCTTGCCGCTCGTATACATAGGGTGCCGGTCCCGTCCTTGTTAAAGGCCACGTTTTGTGGGGTGGATTTCCCTGTTTCAGACACAGATATATACAATAGAATGATACCTTGGCAATGCGTAGCTCTTAATTAACTGAGTTGTCTGGAATCAACTACTAAAGCTAACTACGACGACGTATATATATACATTAAGCATACTTGAGGAGGCCAACGAATATAGCTTACTATGTTAGAAATGTAATGTCTTTGAGTAACTTTCATTATACGGTCTCTAATAGTAGACTTTCGGCCTCGAACAAGACCAAGATACGGCAACAGATATATACGGCGTAAAGTAATACCACTTGCCAGGAAAATCCATTATTAAATTATCTGTTTATATCTCTATTACTAGGTAGAATAACGGAGTCCATTCCCATTCGTACTAGTATCACTAATTAGCGACGGAACAAGAGAAAAGAACTCGATGTCGTTGAGAAATACCTTATAGGCTCATCTTGTTAGCCTTAGGGATATACTATACGTGATTCGATCTTCATCTGGTATCTTCCTTCCCAATTCATGTCGCAGTTAGGCTCTAGTTGAATTTATATCGAAACGTACGCAAAAGCCAGCGGGAAGTAAGAGAAAGTATATACCTATTAGTCGTTGATATTACGACCCCTACTCTAAACACATAACGCTTACTCATTAACCTTACAATTTGACCACGCACTCACTCCTATGACATATTCATATCAAATCCATAGGAACAACCACTTACACCATTAGAGGCCCGAGCGACTGTTTCTTATTTTAACTTCTCCAGGCAAAGCCGCTGATAATCACATGCTTCAAGCCTCGCATGAACGCTTGGACGATCAAGCGAGGCAAATACTCACGGAATCCAGATATCCAACGACGACTCGAACAGGCGCTTAGACTACCGCTGAACCAGCAATAGGATAGCTCAATTCTAGGGCCCGAGTAATATACTACTACTAATCAACGCTAAAATCGACACCTTGGGCGTCTCCAACTCTAACTATTAATGAACTTAAAATACCTACGACACACGTTATCATCGTCCCGAGCCACGCCTCCTCGGGAAGTTCCCGTCGGGAAATGGCGGAGACTTACTTGCGCAAAACCCGTTTCAAAGGCGCGAGCCATTCGGAGTAACCTAGAATACTTTAAAGCTACCTACATACCTACCTATGTAGCTTTGGGCGTCTACTATCTCTACCTAGAGATGGTGATAGAGATATAGATAGAGATAGTAGACGCTCAAGGCTCGTCACCTCGTATAAGCATGGGACTCTAGGAAATTAGGAGCTTAGATTATTTAGGAATTACATTTCCGGGAGGAGAGCTGTGAACATTCGCTGTGTATTTTGACGAGTGACAAGTTACTAGCGTTCTATATTCTAAGAGTGAATGTCATCTACAGTATACTAATAGAGACATTCTCAAGGCCCGATGCTTTTCTAAAACCCCTATTCCAGATGGAATCTACCAGAAAGCTGTAACCATAGATAATACAGAGACCCACGAGACCATACCGGCGAAACTTCCCATCTGCCCTAGGATGCTCGAAGCACTGCCTTGTAGTAGCACCGGGGCGCCTATCTTTTCCGTCTCGTCGATGCTACAAATGTTAAAACAGGACTGGTCGTCTCTCTTCGATGTTGAAGAGCCGGTCGTATTGTAGACGAGCTCAATCCATTGGATCTGAAGGTAAGCCTCCTTCCCCACACTCATATTGCCTGACCAGGATCCGCCGCTGCGTAGCGTTAGCATACCACTTTCTTGTAACAAACTTCGTACATCCCCGGGACCCTGACCCATGAGAAAAGCCAAATGACAGGTAGATCTCAGGGGCATAAGCGGGATTATATTCAAAAAAGCAAAATAGGAATAATCATTTATAATACGTACTCTGACCACGAGTTAAGAATGAGAACACTGGGATCGCGGGGTGCCTGGAAGGAGATCGAGGCGACTTCGTCACCGTTAATGTACCAAGTCGTAGCTCCCGGGCTCCAATCCATTCGATACACCGCCCAGTTTGTCCAGTCTCTCTTCTTCGGGATCGTAACGTTCCGGGTGGCTTGCTGGACATCGAGACCTAGAGAAGTATACGACGGCTGGTTTGTGTATTGGACATGATCAGGAGGATCGATTGTTCTGATTTCTAGATCTGATTCCTGAACCTTGGTGAGATCGGTATTGTTGGCGGTATCTCTGTAGGTAAATATTGCGGTTACCGCGCCCGGCGCACCAATCGTCCTCGCATACATTCTGGCCGATAGGAAATGATAGTCTTGAACCGTGGACTCAAACTCGGATGCCGTCTGAAAGTCATCTAAGCGTGCTGTTCTCATTGTTAGGAATGTGTTTGAGTCGGCATCCGGATCGTTATTCTTCTCAAAATAGACATTGTTGGGCGAATTGACCATTAGGGTCGTTGCATCGCTCACACCGCTGGATAGTGAGGCTTTGTTATCCCAATTTTGTAGAGTCCAATTATCAACCCACTCATTGGAGGAGAAGTAGTCGCTAGTAGGGTCGGCTTCACTGCTATCATCGGGATCATCAATGAGGGCTGGCACTGTAGCATACTCAGATTTCTCCCGATAGTCAAAAAACTTATGGCTCGTGAAGTAATCTGGCCTGCTTCCATTTGTGAGAAAGCAATTGCATTGGTCGTTGCTAACTTGTTGGAAAGCGGCGAGGGATAACGGGGTCAAGCTAGAGACGACCACGAGTAGCCGGAAAAGCCTTGAGTGAACCATGATGACGCCCTTCCCTTGTCTTATATCCACCTATAACCCAGCCGTGGCTTATCCAACTTGCCCGGCGCAACGATGTCCAACTTTGCGTGGGTCTGTGCCGGCTTCAGAAAAGCTAGCTTCGACTTGTGATTGAGAGCCTTCAAGATCACGTGTAATTAAAATGTCGTATATCGGAGGGAAAAGGCATCATAGAGCCGATTCGCTGCTGACAACCAGAGAGGCGAGAAATTTCGGGCTGAAGGAGAAGGGGACGCAAGATAGAAATAACAATTGGCTCGACCATCCCCGAAAGCACACAGCGAGACACGGACACAGGGATGAGATCATCCAAGGTTTTCGAGTACGCTCCCAGGCCTGGATATGAGGCTATGGTAAGGTCTTGGTGCGGAAGACGAAGCCGTTAAAACGGTGCCCTGATCAATGATGTGAGAACGGTCCTAGCGTAACAGTACCAGATTGGGGGAAAGGAATGCTGGATCAGCGACATACGCTATCAATGCAACACTTGAAACGTCGATACTTGTGGTTAGGTTTATTCTAGCCTATGTAGGTATGTTTGGATAATATCCGTTGGATCCCGTTGGATAAAAGGTGCGAATGCAACGCTGCAGATGTGTGTATTTGGAGAAAGCTGTTATTGTAAAGTCAAAGTCAAGCCACGATATAAGAAACTGCAATATTTCTATACAGAAGCCACTAGCTGAGATTTGTTCGCAAATATACCTGTACCCATGGCACCTGGGCTATAAGACGGATAAGCCTAAACTGTGTTTATACCTATGTATGTAGGTATTAAACTCCAAGTGAAATCAACTTTGATCATAGGTACCTATGATAATCTCGTGTCGAGACGTTTGAGGCTGCGGAGGGAAAAAAGGCTAGAAACTCAAAAACAGGAAGAAACGCGCAAGCGTTGTGCTGGTCGTGGATCTGCACACGACGAGTCAAGTTTACCTGGTGTTGAGGTAGTATTATAGGGTATCAGTTACATCGCGGTGAGCTACCCACGATACCTATTCACGATCCTTGGGTTGTAGCACTATTTGCGATCGATTCTTGGCGTATCATTTGGTCAACCCAGAGTTAAGGACGAAGGACCACTGAAGATTCGTCTTGAGTTCTTAACAAACAGACGAACAGGCCACTCATTGGGGGCGACGTCTTCGTTCGTCAGATTTAGAGGGCCTGGAGCGTCGAGAGTGGAGTGGGAGGCCCTATTCTTCATGTGAGGGACGTATGTGTGTGTTGTACAGCATACAGGTAAGGTACATGGGTAGGTAATTAACCGGTCCTGTCGTCCATATGAGCCTTTCAAGCCACAATTGTCTCTGCCGTGTACAGAAATTGAAGGCGAGCTGAAAGATAGTTTATTAGCATCGTGGCTTTTCTTGCTTCTTCGCTAATACTCGTAAAAAATATGGCGCATAGTGGCTTATATATATTAGGAGGTAGTTATGTTTATGTAAAGACTCTTTACAAGTTGTCTGATGTAACACTTTGATTTTGAGTCTTTTTCAGAATTGAGTAATATTTTGCACAGATGTCGGATAGATCTGAGATAACATTGAAATGATTGCTGGCCGGGTATGTGGTTGCACTTACGGGAGCATGAGTGACCCGACCTATGCCCCGCTCCCCACCTGACTTCACCTAACCTGTGCAGGGGCAGTTTGTGTAAAAGACCTGACATAACCTGACCTGTGTAAAAGTTTAGTAGACCTATGGAATAAAGTTCACTTAACCTGTGGACCTTTACCATTTAGCGAATTTTTATAAAGTATATTTATTTATATAAATAAGTATTTATTTATATATAAGTATGTAGGTAAGACTGGGTATCCGTACGGATTAGGTAATAGAAAGGAATAACGTAACAAATAGGAAAGGAAGGAAAAGGAAACAATACGAAACAAGGCTATCGCGATAACTATTGTTGTACTGATTGATTATTGTTGTAAAGGTTACGAATTGTGTGTGTGGGTGCTACCTAGAAAGAATTGCCTTTTGTATGGGGAATAGTCACGTGTCACCACGTGACTATCCTTACGTAATAATATCCCATCACTGGTAACTTTTCTCTTTTCCCCTTTTTTCTCGTATGACGTAATTACATACAATTCAACTAATCCAATACTGACAATTTCTTCTCTTTTCTTGCCTTTAATCCGTCTCTTTTTATACTATGACGTAATTGTCAACAGGTCTTAATCTATCGTAATAATAATAGGCTCGGGCAGGCCAGGCTAGGCTGAAACGGTCGAGGTAAAAGTGGTGGTCGGATCTCTCGTCGTGTTGGCTAGGGCTGGCTAGGGCTGGCTGGCTAAAGCGGTCGAAGTAAGGGTCGTCTGGCTGGGGACGAGGCTATTTTCGGTCGGATCGTCTGGCTGGGGACGAGGCTATTTTCGGTCGAATCGTCTGGCTGGGGACGAGGTCATTTGTCGAATCGTGAGGATTGTTAGCTGGGGCTAATCAGAAACAATTGTGTATTATGGTGGATTCGATACAATTAACCAATTCCAGTCTTATAATGAAGATCCTTAACAATCTTAATCTCTTTATCAAATATACCATCCGTTAGGTCATACCTTTCATCCTCATACTTATATTCGTTATCGTTATAATACACCTTAACATGATCAGTGATGCCTCGTGGTCTCATCGATCGGGTATACGTAATAGGTTTATTAGGCCTTAACGGAACTGCTTATGGAATCGGCTTCGGTATCGTCGTCAACTGTAAGATAGGCTCCGGTACCGTCGGAATTAGCTATGCTTCATCTCGCTATATTGCCCGCATCCAAGGTGGTCTAGATATTGTTTCTAAACAGGCAGGTACTCGGCATGCTAGGGTCCAGAATATTTATAATATCTCGGCCGTAATTTTGTTAAGTTTATCGACGTAATACGGGTTAGTCATTAAGATAAAACTATCGGAGTAACGTTCTAACAGAAATGTACTTTTGTCAAGTAGGAATTTCGTGAATTTTTCAGCATTGGCAATTGTTTCTAGTCTCTCAAAGGTGGTCTTCTTTTCATCAAAATATACTCCGTGGTACAGGAAATAGTCTGTCATTAGTCTCTGGAGCAAGGGGTATGCCTTTTAAAAGTGTCTTACTTGCCATCCCGTAAAAAAATCTTTAAAATCATCCCATATATCCTCGTCGCATTTATCGTCGTGGTACTCGAAATAGTACGCAAAACTTTCCGCACAATACGTATTAATTTCCTCCGCCGTTACTTTGTCTAATTCGGAATCGTCAAGGTCAATAGTTAGGTCGATACCTGAAATATCATTGTCGATATATCTATCCCATATTGAGGCCATGTTAGGTGGTTGTGAATACAGCAAGGGTGCTGTAAAATGCATAATGGAACGCAAATATTGTAGGCTCACAAGTTAAACCCCAAATACCTTTAAGGTAACATAGTGACCGCCAGTGCCACTATCTCTTTTCGTCAAAAAAAAAAAAAAAACGTCTAGCGCTTTTATGATTCTTTTTAACCTTATTAATCTATAGTCTTGTCTTTCAACCAACTATTGATTAATGTAGGTAAGACTAAATATCCGTACGGATTAGGTAATAAAAAGGAATAACGTAACAAATAAGAAAGAAAAGAAAAGGAAATAATATAAAACGAGGCTATCGCAATAACTATTGTTATATTAATTAATTGTTATTGTAAAAGTTATGAATTATGTATGTAAGTGCTATTTAAAAAGAATTGCCTTTTGTATAAGGAATAGTCACGTATCACCACGTGACTATCTTTATGTAATAATATCCCATCAAAATAGGTATTTATTTATATAAATAATGATTTAAGTAATAAAAAATAATTAATCATTTAAATATTTTTTTTTTAATAAAAGTTAAAAAATTAACATAACTTATAAAATATTTATTAAATATTTAATGAAAAATAATATAATATTAAATAAAATAAATATTTAATAAATATTTAATGAATATTAATCAATTAAATTATAAATGGTTAAATTAATTTATAAAAAAATAAATATTTAATAAATATTAATTAATTAAAAATTAAGTTAAATTATAAAAAAATAAATATTTAATAAATATTAATTAATTAAATTATAAATAATTATTTAAAAATTAATTTATAAATAAAATAAACTTTATTTTATAAATTTATTATTATTTTAATAAATTTAAATTAAAATTCGTTAAAATTAAATTTACGTTTAATTACGTTATAAACGCCATAAAACGCTTGGTTTATATTATTATATTTATAAATTTATAAATTTAAAAAAGTAATATAAAACATAAATTTTAACGAATTTTAATTTAAAATAATTTAAACGTTTTTAATTACGTTAAAATAAATTTTTTTAAAAATTAAACTTTATATTTATAATAATTTAATATTTAATAATAACGTTAAAAATACTTTTTTATTTTATAATTTAAAATTAATATTATATTTTTTTTACCTTTTTAACTTTTTTATATATTTATATAATATTACGTTATAATATTATAAACTTTAACGTTTAAAAACACGTAATAATATTAAAAATAATGTATTAATATTTACATTTACGCGTTTATATTTATAACCACGTTTAAAATATTTTTTATTTTTATAATTTAAAGCTTTTAATTTAATTATTTAAGTTTTTTAATTATTTTATATGTTTATATAATATTACGTTATAATATTATAAATTTTAACGTAATATATTTTTAAAAACGTTATAACCGGTGTTACGACCGGTGTTATAACCGGTATTACGGTTAATTATTATCCCGAAACGTTTAAAACGCTTAAAACGCGTGTATTTAAACGTTTAAAACGTATATATTTATTAATAATAAAGTTAATAAATATTTTAAATTAATTAAAATTTATTTTAACTATTGTTTTTAATATTATTTTTAATATTAAATAAAATAATGTGTTAAAAATCGCCCGAGTTACTTTAAATTAAAAATGCGAAATTTGTGGGAAAGGTAAGTTAAGGGTGTGATTGGTTAAAAAAAGGTGTGGTTGGAAAAGGTATAACGAAGTTTGCGTCATTGGTTTAAATTTACTGAAATAAGTCTACTAAACTTTTATACAAGTTAGGTCATGTTAAGTTTTTTATATAAACTGCCTTTACATAAATAAGATAAAAAGTAAAGCATAAGTCGGGTTATTTAATTCTTTTGTATTTACTTAATGTAAAAAGTACGTACCTTTTTTCCAAAGGAATTAAATGACCCAACTTATGCCCCACTTTTTACCTTACTTATATAAAAGCAGTTTATATAAAAGATTTAATATAATTTAATTTATATAAAAGTTTAATAAACTTATAAAATAAAATTTAATAAACTTATAATTTAATTTAACCATTTATAATTTAATTAATTAATATTTATTAAATATTTATTTTTTTATAAATTAACTTAATTATTTATAAAACTTTTATTTGTTTATATATTTAATTTTAAAACTTTATTTTTTTTTTTAATGTTTTAATTTATAACTTATAATTATAACGTAAACCATTTATTAACATTAATTAATTAATACTTATTAAATATTTATTAAATACTTATTTTACCGATATTATTTTAGTTTTTTATAACGGCTATTATAATATTTATTAAATATTTAATAAATATTTTATAATAATTAATTATTTTTTATTATTTAAATTATTATTTATTATTAAATATAAAAAATAACGCCGTAATTGTTATATAACAATTATTTTTTATATATTATGCGATATTTATATAAATAAATATATTTTATAAAAATTTACTAAATGGTAAGGGTTCATAAATTTACTAAACTTTATTCCATAGGTTTACTAAACTTTTACATAGGTTAAGTTATATTAGGTCTTTTATACAAACTGCCCCTACACAGGTTAAGTGAAGTCAGGTAGGGAGCAGGGCATAGGTCGGGTCACTCATGCTCCCTTTCTTCCATTGATAGATCAAGTTAGGTACATAGGTACATTCAATTGGTACATGTACGCGACGGGAGTGAGTACCCAAATGTACCGTTCATCCGAAGATTCCCCTTGCCGATATCCGATAAGAGAATTCCAGAAGGCTCGTACCTAATAGTAATCCAAGGAGCTTCGACGATGCCGACGCATCAACTCGCTAATCACCCATTTTGTACTTGGCCTCGTCTCAGAATCGACTCAATTACGGTAACCCCCCTTGCAAAGCCGCAATTGTCGTGACTCCTTAGTCAGAATGTATCCTTTTCGACTTCTCTTCATCGACTAAGTCGTAGCAGCTTATAATAACATTTCAATAGAAAGGGAATAATTAAAGAAGAAGAAGAAGAAGAAGAAAATATATCTATATATCAAGGCCGCAAAACATGTCAGCTTCGCCTACGTCACTTGGCTCTTCCGAAGTGGCTGCTGATCAGCCCAAGGATACCGACGCGTCGCATGAACCCCTGTCCGACGCTCAACCGAAGTCTCAAGACGCAAATCATGGCGATCCTGTACCATCCGAATCTCCTGAGCGAAGAAGCAGCGCTGCACCCGAATCATCTATAGCATCGCCTCAATCGCGAGAATCTGGCGAGGCTTCACCTGTCGCTGAGGAAAGCGCTCCTCCCTTGCCGAACGAACCGCCTCCCGCGACCGAAGACGATGGCTGGGACTTCCATTGGGATGCAACAAGTCAGGCCTATTTCTTTTACAATCGATTCACCCATGAAACCACTTGGGAAAACCCTCGGCTGTCCAATAAAGCCTCGGTCGCGGAGTCGACGCCGCAGGCGCAGGAAACCGCGTCCAGCGCTGCCGCTGCCGCTGTCGCTGCTGAGCCGCCGAAAAACGAACGGCCACCAGCTGGAGGCTATAATCCAGCGATCCACGGCGACTACGATCCGAACGCCTGGTACGCCAAGCAAGGCGCGGAGAATCCATCAGAGCAGGATCCATCAGTAGACGCGTCGGCCGCCTACGCGGCTATGGGAACATTCAACCGCTTCACCGGGCGCTGGCAAGGCGGCGACCAGAACCCCGATAACCACAACGACGAAGCCAAGTCTCGGCGACAGATGAACGCGTTCTTTGACGTCGACGCGGCTGCGAACTCGCATGACGGTCGGAGTCTAAAAGCGGAGCGGTCCGGCAAGAAGCCGACTAAGGCTGAGCTCAAGCAGTTCAAAGAAAAGCGCCGAGCGAGGAAGGAAGAGAAGCGACGGGCGTGGCTGAGAGACTAGGCAGAGCCACGTGGGTTGCTACGCTACCTGGGGAACTGGGTATACTAGAGAGGAGGGAGGGGCGGATACCTGCATGGTGCATCAAGGTCCGAGGTCACATACACGGCGTTGGTGCATACGGTTTACGTATAGGGGTCGCGTGGAAGCAGATGGCCCTGTCAGGGGCCATCTTGCGTTGCATATTCGGGACGAGGATGTCTGCATTGCATTGTCTGGAGAGAAGAGGTATCGTCACTTAGTTCGTTCTGGATTGCAAGCGGCCCTGACACGCTTGGACAATGAACCTACTAGGTTAGGTAGTTACCTACCTCTTCTCGCATTTTCTTAGCTTTCGGATTATATACCCCCAAATGATAAATCACTTCGAGACGTACTATATACGCTCTAACCTCGCCGCTTAGATTGCACGAACTAAGGTTCCTACCGGTGCTCTTACATATGTCTCTGCTAATATAAATACGCCGAGTATACCGCCTATCGTAGTTCGTTTCTGAAACCCAATAGCTGTCTCTATCTGCCGTAAACTTTCAAAACTGTCCGACCCGTTTCGGATTATACCGTATGCCCGGTCTATTCTAGTATCTCTACGTTGATGTCCTATTCCCATTTCGTTTGCGGAGTAATTCGACTCTACGAATAGAGCGTCCAAGTAGAAATCTAGCTTCCGAAGATCTCCAAGGCATAAATTACCCTAAGTTACCAGGGTATCTATCATAAGAACTGCTACTCAAGACTTTATATAGAACGGCATCCCTCTCGAGGAAGTGCTTATCTCAATATATACAATAGACTGACGACTCTGGTACTAGCTCGCGTGCGCAACACCTGCCAACTCCCCACGAACAACAAGCGACTTCACTTTACAGGATTACGTGGTCTCTATCCGCGACCAAGCGACTCGCGTGCCTTGCGTCTGCACGATGAGGCAATTAATATATACTACGTAGGTAAATATGGCCAACTCCATCTTCTCCCAAGTCCCCATGTAGGTATGTTATGTGCAGGGCCATGTGGGATCTTTTTATCCGGAACCAGGCGGCGTGTTTGCCAAGTTACCGAGTGTGACGTTCCAGATGACGAGTAATCGGGCCAGCCTCCTATTCGCCGCGCGCTAATTTTCCTCTATTCCGTCGTCGTCGTCGTCATCGTCGTCCGCATCGAGCTCCATGTTTAGATGTACACTCTCGTTATCGCTGCTGTCCTCCTCGTCTGGAGCCCCCACGCTGCCGGTCTTGGGAGCCTGGCTCGGCGGATTGATAAATGCCGGTATAGGGGCGCTGATTACCGTTGTTGCCGTCGTGTCGATCTCAACCCGTTTGGAAATGGCAATTTCAGCCTCTTCGCTCTTCCGCTTGAGTAAGTTTGTTGGCGGTGGTCGCACGACAGTGGTACGTTCCTCTTCAGATCTGAGAACCGTCTCTAGCGGTCTCTTGGGGAGAAATAGGTCCTGAGCTTTTGCTGAGGTCTCAGCGGCTTCGGCACGGGTATGATCTGCGGGACCAGGAACAGGAGTCTCAAGTGGTCGATCGAATGAAAACCCATTCATCGAAGACTCGTCTTCTAAGGCGTCTTCAGTTGGCGCCTCATCGATGTCCATAGCGTCATTCCGGGGTCCTGTCGCCATAGGTCGAAAGTTGAAGCGTAGTAATTCCACACTTTCGTCGTGCGGGAACCGTTGCGTAAGATAAGGCAATATGACTGCTGGCGTCCTACCGCTCTTGTCTCGTACCGGATGTAGTATGCTTGCCACCTGCGCGTCCTTGATCTGGCATAAGATAGCCGTTTTGAGCATATGAGCCCGAAGTGAAGAAGGGAGAAGCTGTTGAGGGACATGACTAAAAAGAGTAGTCAAGAGTGCTGTTGCTGCTGAGACGTGCTCTGAACTTAACGAGACAGACATGAATTCATCCTCGGCGCTGTTACCGAGAAAAGCGTCGGCATTCTGACTGATGGATTTAGATTTCGGACCATTTTGAGTAGAAATAGCTGATTGCTTAGGATGTTTGAGATTACCACTAGATCCTAAAAGGTCGCGACAGCATGCTTTGATGATGAGGCTTAAGCCCTCAACGGTAAGTTTCTCCATTGTTGGCCCGCAAAGCTGAATAATCTCTTTGGTTAGGAGGAAGGCTATTATCCGGATTTCAGGTAGACGATAGCTAGTCTCAAACATTCGTAGTAGTTGTTCAAGTGATATTTGAGCTAGTGGCAGGACATTTCTTCCCAGCCGCTGCGTCATAACAAATAGCAACTTCATTGCAGCAAGTTGAATATCTGGAAATACTGTCCATAATTCGTCTTTCTCCTCTCTACCAACAGCTGGGTTCATCTGAATTGATGCAGATTTCTCCTTCCCTGGAATTGGTGGCGTGATTGAGGATATCCTCGTAACGATATCAACTATTGCACTGACCGGAATGGTGACTGTCGTTTTTGTAAAGCATCGCAGATATTCACAGATAAAATCGAGTAGACCGAGCAATCTTTCGCTGCCCGCATAAATGCCAGCCCAAGGGGGCAATTGATCTGGGCTGTCACTACCGCCCTGGGGATCTTTATCGAAGTCTACCCGTTGCAGCGTAGATTCTGACGGGTGACCCGACACCGACTCCCAGTTCTCCTGGATTGCCCGGAAGACCTGATCGGCTGTGGAGTGGAATGTAGTGATTATCCCATCTAGATGTTTCGTCCATTCAGTTGAGTCTCCACCCTTTACAGCTGTCATATGTAACCTGATAACAAGACGTCTGCTGCATGCCTGCAGTGAGGCTGGAACTATTGTACCGTCCGAGACGGTTGGAGCAATATACGATCGTGTCTCAACCCTAAGCTTAGACGCAAACTGACGTAGAGTAGTAGGGTATAGTGGGATTATAACCGAGAAACCTTCAAATATTGTTTCGATGAGGCTATTGGGTGCTTTAGCAACTTTGCTAGTTGTAGGGGGCTTCAAAATCTGGAGGCAGGCGGTTCCAAATGTAGGAAGGGTAGGTGTAACGATCTCCCGTATCAACGTCGGGTAGGCATGCATCAGAGTGTATATCTTCACTAGGGTCACAACACATAGATCCTTAATGACTGCTGGGTCTTTTCTCTGTTTTATTGTGAGTGGCTTTACTGATATTGTGAGGTATGAAAACTTACTTGAAGGATAGATAGAAGTCCTCGGACCCATGGTTCGGATGTTCGAAGGCATTCCCAACCACCAGTTTCTACCACAGCTTTTACTAGCGCCACTCCTACGAAGCGGCCCTGAGAGGTTCTACTATTGAGAAGTGTAGATATCTGAGTCTTTAGCTTATGTACGAGCACTGTCGATTCGGAGGAACTATCAGACGCCTTCGCCTCATGTGGCCTTGACAGTGGTTCTTTGCAACGCAATAAGTCCCTAAGTAGAGAGGGTAGCAGAGCTGGAAGCTGCTCTACTTTTGTCGCCGTCAATCTCCGGCAGAGACTGCGTAGTTCGGGGGGAAGTGCAGAAAAGGCCATGGTTTGCGATTCATATATTCTTAAGATTAATGACTAGTTGAATTTGTAGATGGCTCTGGCGCATGAGATAAATACACAGGCTATAAAGCCCGTCGTTTAAATAATAAACAATTCATTGGTTGTTAAACGAATGTATAACGAGATAGGAATTTCCAACCTAAGCTTTTCTTCATATGAAAGCTTCATGAACTTTTTATTCTTATCGATAAACTTTTTAGCGGGTCTACAGGATCAATCCCACCTTAATGGTTTGGCTGTTTGGTTGTGACCTACCATCCCTTTTAATTGCATAAAACAGAAATAGATATGAATTAAGTGAAGCAACCTTCTTTTAACAGGGTCATGACATATTTCCCCTTACTGTGCCAAGAAATGTTTAATTTACTTGGCTTATTCACTTATTAGGCCCATCTACAACCATCCTGACCCCTGGGCCTAGTAACCAACAGTCCGAGCCATATGATATCTACAGACGTGTAACGCTGGCATTGCACTGAAATCAACACTCGGCCGATATGATATGCGAGAGTTCCATTAATCAATACCGCGTTTGCTCAGGCCTCGAATCGTCAGGATGAGTGTTAGTTCTCTCCCCCTCCTATTCCCTCCTATTCCCAGCAGCCATAACCATAGTTGCTCATCTAAATTGTTATAGAAATCGGCCAAGGTAGCCCAATACGTAGCACGATTGGATGATGCTAGGTGCGAAGGGAAATGGGATGAGGTACCAGAACTTGTGCGTAAGGTCCGCAAACATGCCACCGACAGATTATGTACGACTCTACTCCCCTACTCCCCTACTCCCTCTCGAAGCCATCTAATGTAATGACATATCCACAGGCCTTACAACAACCGCCGAGACCGAGTATGCTATCATCAAAGCTTCACAGAAGCAAAACCCCGAATCGAGGCCTCCTACCGCCGTTTCTGCTGCGGATCTAGATGTCGCCCAATTGGTGCCTAGATTACTTAATGCGATCGAAGTCGAGACAACTCATCTTGAAGATAAATTCCAAGCCCAAGTATGTGTTGGATGGCTTTATTGGACCGTCGGGGAGTATAGTACTGCTGCTTTGAAGTTACCAGAGAATCCAGAGAGCGAGTTAGCCCAGCTCGATCAGCCAAGTAACATCTCCGAATGGTCGTGGGTATGTGCCCTCAAGGCTACATATTTAAAGGCCGATTGTCTTGCGCGGAGCGGTGACAGGGTTGCGGCACTGGGCATCTTCGAATCAGCATTAACTTCCCTATCACATGTATGGTTGGAACAGAAAGGACGGAAGCAGTTGCGGTTCTGGACTGAACTCCTCTTAACGGAATTCTGTATGCTACAATCTCAGGCCCTGCAAAAAGGAGAGAAAACCCTCGAAGATGCCAATTCACTAGCCCCATATCGTTCCTGGGCGAAATACTGGGAAGTGGCCAAGGCTCAAGGCACCGCTCTTGTCGGTGGCTATGGTTTCCGTGGTGCCATACCCAGAAGGAGAGTATGGAATGAATATTACGCCGCCATTTCGGCCATCCTGCAACAAGATTTGCCATTCCCAACAGGCTCCGTAGACGTCACCAACGAGGCATCAGCTAGGAATCAGCTTCGAACGGAGCTGAAGAAAGTCGAAGTAGCTTACGAAGGTCTCCTTCTAAGTGAAACTTCCTTTCCGCGAGCCGAGGAACAGAGACAAGAAGTGGAAGACTTCGTTGCGGTTGTGATGAGAAACTGGAGTGTACTTAGCGGGCGTGATTGGCACGAACAAGACCTCGGGCCTGGCGGCAAGGAAGGCCTTAGTCGGGGGGTATTGGACATCCTCTACCGAGCCGCTACCAAAACATTCCATTCTACGGCTATACTGCGGTATCTGTTCACCGTTCACCTCTCAGTCGCTGAATTTGATCTTGCATTCCATGCCTTCGATTCCTACCTAGATATCGTCAAAAAGGGGAAAGCCCGTGTCGACAAGACGGGCCATCCGGAGCCGAGTCTTGATGATGACGCGACAGTTCTTGAAACCATTTCCCAGGCGATAACAGCTCTCTGCAAATACGGTTTCAGGGATGCTGCTGCGAAGGCACATGAGTTGGGGGTTGAATTAGAAGGAATGGTCCAGAAGCTGCCAACACCGCTTCCTAGGGTGCAGGATAATATCACAACACTAGACGAGGAGGATGGAAATGGAGTTATATTACATCCAAGAATATCGTCTCGAGTGTATGCCTTGTCATGGCAAGCTATCGGTATTTCACAAGCGCAGTGGGCTAGAACGACGTTTGATGCATCTGTACGAACAGAAACTCAAACCAAGGCCATACGAAGCTTCCAGAAGTCCTTATCGCCGGAAAGCGGAAATCCAACAGACGTCAGGACCCTATTCACTCTCGGTCTATTACTAGCCGAGCAACGAGAGCTGACGGCAGCTATTGACATTGTTAGGGCTGCACTCATGTCCAGTGGGAAAATAGGAGAGCAATCAGCTGGGTCTGGATCATACTGGCGAGAGCGCTCGCTGATACCCTTGTGGCACCTCCTTGCGCTCCTTCTAAGTGCCAGACAAGATTTTATCATGGCTGCCAGGGCTTGTGAGGGGGCCTTTGAACAGTTCAACGACCCGGCAGTCCTATTTGGCTCTCAAAATCTTCAAGGTGCGTTCCGAAGCGAACATCTTAACGAGGTGGAAGCTCGCAATGAGAAGAACGAGGGAAGGGGACTCGTCGATGAAATGGACGATCTCGAGAAAGAAGGCATGATTGAAGTAAAAATGACACAACTCGCCCTTCTAGAATTATTAGAAGGACCAGAAGTCGCAGTAAACGCAAGTCACGAATTGTTAGTCCTATACACAAGACTGTTTGGCGAATTTCAACCAAAGCCGCCGGCTACAACTCAGAAGGCGACAATGGAAGTCCCCAAAAGTTCAGCTGGCACAATCAAAAGTATGCGCGGTAGCATTTTTGGTAATAAGGCTGAGAGAACACCTCGTAATCTCAGAAATATCACTCCCGCAGAGAGCGGCACGTCTACCGTCTTACCGGAGAGGCCTCAAACCACCCAGACATCCGTTAGCACTATCGCCACCGCCAACGCCAACGCCACCACAGCTCCTGCCATACACGTCACCAAGGAGAATGGTGAAGCTGGTGAGGGTCGACGGTCTAGGAGATCGTCGAGCGCCTGTGGGCGTAGCGATTCAACGAGGCGAAACAGCCTGAAGAAACGAGAACCGAGCGCCCAGCCGCGACGGGCCTCTAGCCCACCCCGAGCCCCGACTGTCGTAGACGGTGAGGATTTCTACACACCGATGCCGGATGGAGTAACACAAGAGCGAGTAGACTTCTTCGCATCGAATAACACAAACGACATGTCTAGGCAACAGTCGTTTTCCAAAGGTCGTGGACTACTTCGATTCAATTCTACGGCTTCTTCAACCAAGGGCTCTGCAAATGGGGCTGATAGTTTAGTTCTTGATTCACTTTCATCGCCCAATCCACTACCCATCGTGCAATTTCCGAAAGAACAAGTCAAGCGGCAGAGGCAGACTATACTTGTAAAAGTATGGTTGATGATCGGTGCGTTTTACCGTCGTGCTAAAATGTATGGCGATGCCAAGGGCGCTATTAGCGAGGCGAGAATATTGGTAGACGGTTTAGAAAGTGAGGTCGCCAAGGATACGAGCGGCTCTATGGCCCTACGGGATCCTGGCTGGGGAGGGAAAAGATCGGTTGAGGAGCTCTGGGGTGATATTCAGAGCGAGGTATGAAATTGGATGACCCCCAAATGTTTTCTTTTTTCGCTAACAAAATATAGTTGGGCTATCTCGCAGTCTCCGAAGGCACCCCTTACGTGGCGAGGGACTACTTTGAGGAAGCTCTAATGTACTATCCAGACCACCCTTCAGCAATTGTTGGTTTGTCCAACATCCTCCTCGACATATACAGCGAAGCGCTTTTGCCGCCTCCTGCTGTCCCTAGCATTATCCTACCAGATGGCCAAGAGACAAATCTAATATCAACTGGCCCTGGTCCTCGGAAGCCTCACACAATAGTAGATATTCCGACGCTTCCATCAACACCACTAGGGCTCGGAGGTTGTGTGGCTGATATCGTAGACTCACCGTCAGATAAATCAGCTACCATTGAATCAGACGGACCTTCGATAGAGGAGCTTCCAGCCCCTTACAAAGCTGTTTCCTTGCCTCTTGTCGATCGACTTGCTGCTCGAGATAGAGCTTATGGGCTACTGTCAGGACTCACTAAATTGGGCACAGGATGGAATTACTCCGATGCATGGTTTGCCTTGGCTAGGGCACACGAAGACAGCGGACAGCTAGATAAAGCCAAAGAAGTACTTTGGTGGTGCGTTGAACTCGAGGAAGGGATGGGTGTCCGCGAGTGGAATTGTGTTAGCGCCAATGGCTATGTGCTGTAGGCGAACAAAACAACGAGGCCATCTAATCACCGAAACGACGATTACTTGTTCTAATCACCGAAACGACGATTACTTGTTCGATAGACAGGCCATACGCATAGATTTGTACACACAAAATTGGCGACTAATGGGAATTCAACGGAGTTACTAGTGTGCATCAGGCTTATTTCATGTTGTGGATGCTATTTCGGTTCGCGTCATCATTTTGGCTGCTTTAACACAACAAATTTCATACGGCTCTTTTCCCTAGACCAGGATTGATACCCTTCCGTGGCGAATTTTTGATGCTTAGAAATACTAATAATATAGACTCAATTCAAAAGCTGTTCCCTGGTCAAAGTTTGAATCCCCGTTAATCTGAGCTTTAGTCCCTTACCCTCACTCGACAAGTGTCAATTCAAATTCTAGGATGATTCCGGCAACCAAATAGCAGGTCTATTGTAGGTTTCACGATAATAGACTAGAGATCTCAACAACCTAAGACTGGGGATCAATAAAGACCCAAGATTTTCAACTAGAACCGTTAATATTTAGCTTACTAAACCTCATCGGCGTTAGGAACGGTAAAGTTGGGTCGTCTTCGAAACTAATTCCTACACAGGTTTCCAATCTTCTGTTGGTTCTTCATATAACGTCCTCATACTCACGTCATGGCCTAATCCAGCAGAAAGAAAAGCGACTCATACGGGCCCAACTCTCTGGATACGATCCAAGTCTAGGTGATCAAAGACTTCGAATCAATACTTTGAGTTTACGTTACCAGGAGTCACCTTGTTCCACCATGAAGTTATACAGGTGGTGATTTCATATACGTATCCTAATCGACAAGTATGCTTTGACGGATGTCGCGGAAGATTATTCATAATTAATAATAGTCCCCACCGATGTCTTGCCCGTGGGAGTCGATCTTCAACGCCCGGCACCGCTGTCTTGGGCGGTTCCTGGTAGTGTTTTTGGCTCCCTTTGCCGCTGGAGTGGTGACGAACAACTGGGTCAATTAGTGCCGATGCCTCAGGAATGCGCACTTATTATATGGACTCTCCACCCACGCGAACTGTGGAATCCTAGATACCATCAGGATATTAGACCATTCCATCATTTACTTTATTTACTTTGCGCAGAATCGCGTCATGGTATAGCTACGTTGTACACTAGCGGAGTAATGGTCCTTGCACGTCCGCCCTTACGATAGAATATCGTTGTCGTCAATATTGAACTCAAAATGTTTCTGTCTGCGGTTGCGAGGGAGCGGATTATACGCTACGCGTTCGAGACCCTAGCTTCAGGAGGGCTATAAGAAGCTCATTGACCTCCCCCATATTCACCTATAATCATTCTGCATCTCAACATCCATCTCCGTCTTCAATAAACAGATCAATACTATACCTACTACACATTTACCCACTACCACCAACATGCAGGTCACCAAATCTCTCCTAGCAGTCTTCCTGCTCTTCGGCTCTAACGCCTTAGCCGCACCCACTACCGCCGAGGCAGTTGCACCTCTCGATGAGCGCACTGCCCTTGAGGTTAGCCCCTTTTCCCCTTCCCCCAAGCTCTCATATAATCGTACTAACACTACTACCCGTCGCAGAAGCCAGAGGCCAACATCGAGGCTAGACAAGGCCCTGGCGTCAACGGGGAGGATGAGGATGAAGACCTCAAATACAAAGCGGCGTGGCGCGGCGGGCACCACTGGGGCCCGCACTACGGCCCGCACTACGGCCACCACCCGCACCACCACGAGCACGGGGATGTCGACGGCAAGGCTAAGGACAATACCCGCAGCCCTCAGCCGTTGCCGCGAGGAGAGGAATATGACGGCAAAGATCGCGGAGGACACCGCGGCGGTCACGATGGACATCGCGGCGGTCATGGTGGACACCGCGGCGGTCACGGTGGACACGGTGACGGTCACGGTGGTGGACACGGTGGTGGATATCATGGCGTACGCGATGAAGGTGTACGCGATGAAGGTGTACGCGATGAAGGTGTACGCGATGAAGGTGGACGCGATGATGGTGGACGCGGTGGTGGCAGACATGGTGGTGGTGGACGTGGTGGTGGCGGACACCGTGGTGGCGGACACCGTGGTGGTTGGGGCGGGAAGGCAGAGAAGAGGGGTGAGGGTGAGGAGGAGTACCGTCACGGTCACAAGGGCGGGCATGGTGGTGGACGTGGTGGTCGTGGTGGTCGTGATGAGTAAACTAGGGTGATGAGTGTACGAGTGTATGAGTGTATTATTGAGGGTTACTGGGAAAATTGGAAAAACAAAATGGGATTAAGGACGGGTTAGGCGGGATGATTGATGAAGGATACATATGCTATGGTCATGGTCACTTTTTTACTATTATATACATTAAAACCAAAGTTGGTTCATACTTTTATAAAATGCCTATCTTTGATCATCGGGGTGTGATATGACTTAGTAAATCGTATAAAGTATTTAAAGTAGAACTTGAAGTTATTACCTACATGTATACTTGTTAACTTGAAGTTAAAAAGAATACTCCCCATATTCACATGTTAAATTTAACCTGTGTATTAAAGCTTACACACATACATTCAGGTTAAAATACGTAACGTTAAACTCAAATACATACTAAGATGTACTTTACAATTAAAAATTAAAATAGTCCCGCGGCTAAAAGGCACGTACATCCATATATGCATGTCATATTTCCACTAGCGCCCTTTCCCGTTGCTATATGTACCTAGGTATAAAAACGATCTCTTATAAGTACCTGCATTAGGCATTTCTTCGTTTCGAAACGGCCAGGGGAAGGAAATGCTACCTCAGGATGGCGAGTAACGAGTTAGGCAGTTGCGCATTACATCGAGTTACACGAGATCTACACGGGAAGGTATAGGGGGGTGGGTATCCTACCTTACCTTATATTAGGTTAGGTTATGTAAGTTTAGGTGCAACCACAAGTGCCCACTATAATCCCGCTGGCCACGTGATGCCTAGGAGAACATCACTCCTCCCTCTTGTGCAGTGTTCTTCTTTCTCTGCTGGTGAAACAACGCAAGTACATAATCAACTGCCTGCTTTGTATCCTTCTTTTTATTTTACACGTGTAGTACGCGATGGAATGTCAATAACACAAACCCGCAATTTCCATATAACCGCCGTTGTAAATTTTCTCCAGATAAATCTTTTCTATACCCCCTTTTAACTACCTACCTATTTAGAAGAACAAATTGAAGAAATACAACACTTATAGACAAGATGGCCCCCTCTGGAACAAGCACAGATGCACCAGACTCCCTAATCAGCGCTGATGACGGCCGCAAGTACTGGTCCGGCATCGACCCCGACGTCAACGGCATGCTGGGCGGGTACCCTGCCGTCTCGCGCATCGACTTAAGAGGCTCGCGGAGCTTCCTGGCTAAACTTGGCCTGGGCCGTACCAAGGGCGTCAAGGCTGTAAATAGGGCGATGGAGGGCGGTGCAGGGTAAGTTTTTCTACTTGTTGGTTGGCTGCCTTTGTTGCCTTCGTTGACTATATCCTCCCCTTACTTGGCCCCTTTTCTGATATTTTCTATTTTTATCACTTTGCCATATTTTTTTATAATCGTCTCTACGCCGCGCGCATGCGTAGAAGTTATAAGAAGAATATCGTAGCAGTGTGAGGGGTTGCGGGATGCACGCGCGGGTGCAAGGCGTATATATATATATATATAAGGTATATATAACACATAACTAATAACGGTCGCAGGATTGGACGCATAACGCAAGGGCTACTTCTCGACGTTGCAGAGACAGTCGACATCGTCGAGCCCATCGCCAAGTTCACAGATGCGCTCGAGGGCCAGCCGGGAGTAGGCCAAATCCACAACGTTGGGCTCGAGGAGTGGCGGCCTGACGATGATGCTGAATACGACCTCATCTGGAACCAGTGGTGTCTCGGCCACCTGACCGACCAGCAGCTCGAAGAATTCCTAAGACGGTGTAGCGCTGTGCTCAGTGTCGGCGACGATGGGAAGACGAAAGGGGTTATCGTGGTAAAGGAGAACTTGAGTACGTCCGAAGAGGACTTGTTTGACTGGGAAGACAGCAGTGTTATAAGGTAAGTGTTTTATAGTGAGCGTATTCAGAGTGTTGTTTCGTCACATTCCTTCAATTTCCCATGGACGAGTAAGCACTATAACTAACCGTGATATACCATAGACAAGACGAGACATTCAGGCGCATTTTTGAGGAGGCAGGATTACGCATAATTAGGACGGAGATACAGCACGGGTTCCCTCACGAGCTATACTCTGTGCGCATGTACGCATTGAAGCCTAAATAAAGCTAATAGATGAGTAAAATATCTTAATAGTCCTATTACAACAGAGCCTTAGTAATGCTGATTTCTTCATTTCTTCATTTCTTCTCGTTGATCATATATAAGAGCTGCATCATATGTGAACGTGATAAAATTCTCATGCTTCTTCCCATTTATATCGTTAACCCCAACCTAGACCGGCGTATCGTCTTCCAAAACTCAAGACTCCGGATCCACCGCCTTGCTCAGCTTGAACAAGAAAGGGTCCAACCCCTTAACACCGACATCAACCCTAAATAGCGCACCGCCGAGTTCAACCTCCTCGGAAGTTCCCTCGCCCTCCTGCATTCCCGCCGTCGTGATAAACAGTTCCGTGCCGACGAACTGGGTGCACGTGATGTTCTTAGTAGGCAGCCTAATCTCACCAACAAGCTTTCCCTCAGGCGAGATCTTCAACACGCGGCTCTCGCCGTAGACGGCCTGCCACAAGTTCCCCTCGACATCGACACGGAAGCCATCGGGCTCGCCGGGACCGTCGTGCAGGTAAAATGCGCGCTCGCTCGACACCTCGCCGGAGCTCTGGTCGTAGTCGTACGCGTGGATGGTGCGCTCGGTCGAGTGCGTGAAGTACAAGGTCTTGCCGTCCGGGGACCAGCCAACCGAGTTCGGGATGGTGACCGGGTGCCGCATGGACCGCGCCGTGCTCATGCCGTCGAAGAGGAACACGGAGCCTGGGATGGGACGGAATTGGTTAGTTTTGCCAAGTTTTGCCCTGCCGCGCATAACATAGCACAGCATAACATCATATAAACGTCGTGTTGCCTGATACCCCAATGTCGATCTTACAACAATGGTAAAAGTAAAGTAGCACTGCCACCTCCGCGCGTGCATCTCTGCAGACTAGACTCGTTCCGTCTTCCCGTTTTTTCCCTCTCTTTTGCTGTCCCTCTTTCTGCACGCCCCTCTTTCGCCCGCATATCCATGCACGTACATTACATACATACATGCATACATACATGGCGTAGCAGTGCAAAATGCAACGTATATCACAAGACTTATATCGTCCCGGGCCGTGCTGGTGAACCGGGCTGCCGGAGTCACCTCCGGCCACGAACATTACATAACAGAGACGCTTGCCGGGAAAAGAGCGGAAAACGATAACGGGAAATTTCTAGGGCTGATTTCCCTTTTCAGGAGTTCATGCGGGGAGGGCTTAGGATACACCCCGAGCATGTCCTTGAGGCACAGGAAATGAAGACGAGGCTCGGTTCCGCCTTCCCCCCATCTACCCCTCCTCGGTGCGAGCACGAGGAGGACGAGTGCCGAAAAAAAAAAAAAAAAAGAGAAGTAAAAGGAGGAACTTCTTATTAATAAATAGCCTTTCTAGAGGGACTTGCGACAAATAATAGGACCAGATAGAAATAATAGTAGTAGTAGGAATAGAAAGCGACGAAAGCAAAACTCAAGCTCACCTTCGGGCTGCAAGTCGTAGCCGAAATCGGACATAGTGCCTAGCCAGAAGCGTCCGTGGGGATCGACAGCGCCGTCGTTGCTGCGCAGGCGCTCGTTGTCCTTGTCGGCGCCGAACCGCGCAACGTACTCGTAAGTGCCGGCGCGGCGGTCCAGCACGGCGAGGCCGTACTTGGCGCCGACGAGGATGCGCTCGCGCGGGTCGACGCCCTCGATGTCCGCCGTGACGGTCACGGGGACGTCGAGCTGGATGGTCTCGACGCCGGCGGGGGCCGAGCTCGGATCCACGTTGGGGTTCGGGTTGGGGTGCGGGATCTTAGCAAGGTCCACGGCGTGCACCCGCTTCTTCTTGATGTCGACGAACCGCAGGCTGCGAGTCTGCTCCTCGTAGTACGGGCCTTCGCCTAGCCCGCACCGGAGGTGTAAGTACGGCTCCGTGACGTGCCATTGCTGTAGCTGTGGCTGTGGCTTGGCTTCGACAGCGGCGGACATATTGAATCTCCCTATCTCCGTCCTTTTTATTTTTATTTTTACTTTTTTCGGGGTATTGAGTTTCCCGGGCCCGGAGCGTAGATAAGAAACCCCTTGTTTGTTTGCTCGCTTTGGCGCAATAATTAATAATTAGTAGCGCGGATGTAGCGTGTTGGTTGACCGGGGAAACGCGTGGAAGATATCCAATGTCTCGGATATCAAGTAAGGGACGGTGGAGGCTTTAGGGCGGCAGGGCTATGGTGGACGGTTAGGACATTTGTGCCAAAATCAGGAAAATGGGTCGGGGCTTTCCAAAAAGGGTAATATAGCAGGTGCACAGTATACTATGCGGGGTATATACAAAGTAAAATATAAATTTTTTTCATTATTTGGCCAATCAGATTAAAAGATTCGATTGTCAATTCAAATCTTCAATTACCTTATACACACAACACATTCAAATAACTTTTTAAAGATAACAATCCAGACATTATAATTGGTATCATTTTATAGCCTTAATTGATGCGAAAATAATGGACCAGACTGCATGTTTATGCGATGTGTATTGAATATTATATTGCTATTAAAGTATCTGGAGTCTGTTTGGAATAACTTTATCGAGGTGCTTTTAAAGGGTATCACGTGCTTGCCTCTCCAGACAAGCGCTATTTGATTCTACTACAACACAACAGCCAAAAGGCCTATTCAAATGCAACTTGAATCATTGTTTTCGCATCAATTAAAGCTATAAAATGATACCAATTATAACGTCTGGAGTGTTGTCTTTGAAAAGTTATTTGAATGTGTTGTGTGTATAAGGTAATTGAAGATTTGAATTGACAATCGAATCTTTTAATCTGATTGGTTAACCTTAAAGATAATAAGGCCTGTATAGTTACATATATATAATTATATAGCTTTTTAAAATCTTTACCAATTTTAGTTTAAATTACATGTAATTTAAGCCGTAATTTTTGTCATTTTTTAATTGAAATAATAATGCCTTTTAAAAAAAGTATAAAAAAATATTCGTGAAGTTATTATAATATAAGTTAAAAAAATGTATGTATTACCTTATAAATTGTGTACACAGGGCAAATAGTCGAGTTCATACTGTACCCCTAGCGTTACTATTACCGTATTAGACATAGTGCCACCGGCTTTTTCGATTTTGGCACAAATGTCTTAACCGTCCACCATAAGGGCGGCAGGGCGGCAGGGCGGCAGGGCGGCAGGGCGAGACTCGGATTCGGAATCAAATGTCTCGACTAGTTAGGTTAGGTAGGTACCTACCTGTTAGTCGATTAGTTCTTTGACGATCTAGGCTATGAACCTATTATTAGTGGCTTGTAGAGTTTCCCACGTTGTACAATGCAGCATCCACGAGAACCAACGATTATTTCACTAAAACTTTTCGAACTATAGGCCAAGTAAAAAAAAAAAAAGGAGAGAAATAAATAAAAGTTATTTTCGCGTCATGATAAAAACCCATCAGATATTGTTGTGCATTATACGGAATACAAAATACGGAATACGGGCCTGATAGCCGTGAATTGAGGCCGAAGTCTTCTTCAATCTAAAGAGTCTGGATTTCGGTGGCTTTCGGTCGAACCGTGCCGACATCGATTTATCTCCTGCCGGCTATTTCTCAAAGCCATTCCTTTCCTTCGCTTGACGGATGGATATGACCCGTTGTCGAATGCGACGTATAGCTGCACATAAATCACTTATAACAGTGTGCTATACCTAGAACGTAACGCCATCTTACGTTATTCCAGGAATAAGACGGAATGAACAAGCGAGAACTTCATATATAGGACATATCGCATCCTACTCGAGCTGGCTTAGTTGCATATAAATTAATAAAAATGTCAAAATAGCGTTCTACACCCAGGAAAGGTAGTAGAAAATTCAATACTCCTATTCGGTTCACCTGACTGAGACCCTTCAACTCCGAGTTTCCCTCCCTGCGCCAACAAGGCGCAAAGCATGAATATTCATGGGCGAAATAGGAAATAGACACGCAGCCACGCGAATATTTGTAGAATGACTTACTAGCGTAGCTTTGACTAGCTTTGGCGAAGTGGTCCCAACGAAGGAACAATTGCCTAAAATAGCGACTATAGACGGGCGGGTTCACGATCCGAAAGTATGTAGTGTAAAAGTTGCATTTAGAGAGGGTTGGTGACCGCTTCTTACGAATAGCGTGGATACACGACAGCAAGGTGGCGTGGAAGAAGCTATTTGGTTGTAGATAGAGAAACTGGAGAAACGCATCATAGGTGCAGCTAAAAGTGAGGCAAGGTATGTAGGTATGTAGGTGGAAACTTGTCGGTGTAGAACATCGTGAGTGAGCGCATCTCCCCTTGTGACCACTGCAAGCCCGCTAGTTCTGTTCAGGAGAGCCTCAGCTCCTAGACGCATCGTGTGCATGAAAGATGCGCCCCCATCAGGAGCCTGTCAAGCGGTCACGTCTTGTCTGTAAAAATTACTAGGCCTGGGGACGTGGACTCTCCGACTCGTTGGCCGACTGGATGGATCTGGCCAAGGCCGTTCTAGCTGGACGGACTAGAACGAATGAAGCGGTCGAAATTTGTAAATGTAATCCGTACATAAGCTGGATTCGAGCCGTTCCGCGGCTAAGCCACAAGCCGTCAAATTGACGAACCACATGATCATAGATTGATGCGCGTAAGTCTCTTCCAGGGAGTCTTCCAGGGAGTCTTCCAGAACAAAGTCCCACATCCAATCTGGGATTAAAAAAGAAAAGTATCAAGGGGGAGGGAGATGAGAAAATACATAACAATACATAGGCACTGTCTAGGTAGGTATTATGAAGCTAGAGGGTAATAAATGACGCGCGAGGGAGCTCCACTTGACCTCTGTAATTATGTACGATGGTTGGCTGTACACCACCGAATCCTTGCTCAAGCTCAACGGGCTGAATGGGGTCGTGATTGATCGATGTCGCTCTCTAAGCTTCGTAATAATAGCTCAAAGAGGGCAGATCCCCGTGCGGTATGGTTTGGTAGCGATTATCTTCGACAATCTACGTATCATTGCATCGGCATTGACGCTGATGATAATAATGACGATATTATATGAGTATGTATGTACGTACTCTACTCTATACATAGTAGCACAAGAACGTTGCTTAGCTGTGGGGGTACTGTCCTAGACGCGATGAGGCACATTAGCCATGTGTCGATAAGACATGAGGAAGAGCGTCAGAGGTCCGTGGGAGTCATGGCTGGTGCTACATACATAATATGTACCGTTATAATATATGTATTTCCACTGCACATACGAAGTACAATGCGCACATAAAAGTCCACAAGAGGAAATCCGGTTACGCAAGTGGATTGGTGGCTCACCGCTGATGCTAATGTCGCCTAGGATAGCGATCATCTGCGTCTGTACATAGTATATGTATATATGTGTATATATGTGTATGGCGCTTATTTATTCGCACGTCAACCGGCCAGACTATCGAAATCCATAGCCATAGTATGGCGACAAATGTGACAGGTAGTTTTTGTGTTGCATTGTGAAGCCTTGGAAGCTGGGGCTAAACTGGTCACGAAGCCGTTTTGCAATGGGTAACACGTACTGTAATGTAATGTTTTGATCCCTGTTCCCCGAGCTTGCAGGATGCAGTTTATTAGCTGCAGCTGTGCTCTGCATGCCATACATGATACGTTTTCCAGAATCTGGTGAGAATCTCCAAGGGAGGCACGCGAAAAACGGCCCCCCAATTCAATCTCCAGATCGAGGTATGGATCACTCGGCAGTCCAGGCTCCTGGGTAACTTAAATAACGACCCAGGGTTCGTTGTCTATTTTCTCAACATCCCATAGACGAGGCGTACATATATCGTATTAATATCAGCGTAGTAGATGAGTAAGTATCTACGCAAAATCAATAGTCTTTCCCGTAGTACGTTTTTATAGGTACTTACCGAGGTAGGTTAGGTACTTGTGTGGTGTGTAACTACATTTATTAGTGTAGCTTGATATTCGTAAGACGATTTTGGCACGTCTTGATAGATATTGTGGAATTATCACGTATAAGTCCACAAGAAGACTTCTCAACCCAGCGGAAGAAGTATCTTGTATCATATCAGGACTGATGTCGTATGATTGAAGCAACTCGGAGCTTGGGTCCTCCATAGATAGTTCGTGGCGGAAGGGCGTCATTCTTCCCGCCTGTGGCGTATGAATCATTTTCTTGACTACCACTGGTAAATTAAGTCCGGGTTAGATTAAAGCAATGATGCTATCTTAAACTACCAGGTTGTTCGAGATGTTGTACAAAGTTTAATGTAGCGCACTGTGCTTATGGCACTGATAATTGTTGGTCTCGACTCGGGTGAAGTATCGTTGAGAGTTGAGAAAAGTGACAGGTAACAAAGCATTCTTTGCAGAGGCCAATTTAATGAGGTGAGATAATCTCAACTGACCCGGTGGCGGAACATGCAGGTTACTTCATTCCACGATGCCTTGGTCCCTGTTCCTGCATTGAATGCAGACAAGCCATCGTATTCTCCGGCTGTGCGAGAAAACCAGGGGAAGAGACATTAAAAAGTAAATTAGAACCAGGGACGATGCCATCCGAAATATGATGTTGCGACGTTATTTCTTTCATCATGTCAGGGTCTTATTTCCTTTATGCCCTAGGGAATCGACTACCTTGTAGGTTATCATCGATAGGACTGTTACTACGATGTGATTGATCAACAGTTGGCTTGTCTCGAAATGGGAGAATGCAACACAACCTATTGATAGATTGAGTAGTAAGAATATCAGCCATCAATAAGTTGTATGTGATGGTACGAAATCGCGATAGTTATCCGCAGATCTGTTTCTGCCAAGTCTTTTGTTTTTCCTTTTTTTTATGTTGCGGCGTCATATTCCATGGCAACTACTGACGAAAGCCGGACACCCACGTTGCCCGTTGCCACGAGGTTTAAAAAAAAATAAAACCGCCTTGTTTCGTTAGTGCCTATTATTCGGTTCGGAATTACAAGACATAAGCCACTCAGCCCATCTCTTGCGACTAGGCCCGAGAGGGTTTAGGGTGCAGCAGCCTATCCAGGCTGCTGGGTTGAGAGTGTCGACAGAAGATCCTTGCGCTTACGGGCTGCCAAACAAAATGCTGTAATTTCGCGCGAAAAGACTTTTTCAGTCTATGTGGTATGCGGTGCGTGTGGTGCGTTCCTTTGGCCGCATAGAGGGCCGCAGATAGGCAGGGCCTACTTAAGGTACCCTACTCTATGTGGTATGCATGTATGTATATACATACGCATGACAACCGGGACCAGATGGTGGTCTCATCACACGGCGGGAACATGAA